TATATAAAAAGTACGAACTTCGTTTTGATTATGGTTATTTTAAGGAAGTCGAGCTCGGTACTTTATTGAATTTGGAGAGTTCTTTTATTCTCAATTATATCAGGAATCCTGGTTCAGTTTATTTAATAATCCTCTTTTAATTTACGTATTAATTTTCTTCTTGAAAATGTTTTGTATAACCCCTGCACCTTCAGTGTTCCCTTTAGGCTGCATTACCTACCGATCTCAAGTTAGGAAAAAAAAATTCAAGAAAAAATTGTAGACTTGCAATTTTTTGAAATCTACCAAAAATTGATTAAATATGCCCATAAAGATCTAGATTTGCTCATTTTAAACTGGTAGGAACCCTGCTCTCAATAAGTTTTTTTTATTGTGGAATACTGTATAAATAAATTCTCCTGCCTGTTTTTGTTTGTATAAGAGACTTATTTCCATCACTTGGTATAATAGACGTAACTAGATCAAAGGTTGAAACTTATAACTTGATATTGATACCTACTGTGGAAACTTAGATTTGAGAGTTAAGTATTGATACCTTAATTTCAGTTTGTTTTCCTGCATGGTATTTATTAATCCGTAGGTCTGAATGGGGATCAATGCTTAATCCCGAGAATCACGACTCAAAGGTTCAGACCTCTGGTTACAAAAGTGCATTAGTCCCAATAATCCGAATTTAGAACCAGGATATAATCTCAGAGAACGGATTGGACTACAGCTATCCGTGTGTCCCGGTATCCAGGAGACAAATGTGATAAACCTAGATATAAACACCAGAGAAACTGTTATTGAGAAATATGGAACTTATTTTATATACAGGAGCAGGTACAAAAAATAGACAAAGTTAAAAAGACATTTTATTTAATAAGATTGGCATGTCCGATTCACAACGGTACCTTAAAAAGGTTTTACTGATTTACAATGAGGAAGATAATACCGCTGTTCTATCATTAAACGAGCTACGTATGAGTTGAGATATGAAAATTTTCTTTATAGCGTTTTCAACAAGAAGTCTGCAAGACAATATTGAAAGATTGAAACAAAAAATAATCATTTTTTAGCCGCATAAATATTATATAAGCATATCTACTTTTCATCTCTGTGTCCGAATCTTGCCAGCCGTACTTTTTGCAAACGTTGACGTCTTCACTTACTCAAGGAAAAAACAGACCCCTCTCGGTGAAAACAAATAGAAAGCATAGTAAAATAAGATCATGTGCTGACACCTATACTTTGGGTGACATTTAGCGGACAAACACTATAGAGTACGGAGATATACAAAGTACGTCTCAAATACGCCCGTTAAGTTGGCAAGATATGGGCTCAGAAGTGGGAAAGGGTAATGTTGTAAATAATCGGAAATGCAACATAAATGTAGGGTAGTATGAAATCATTAAAGCTATTTGTGTTTGGGGGAAGGGGGGAGGGTAGAGCACTAGTAGGGTAAAATGATTAAAAGATTCAACAATATTTAAGGATGTGTAGCAGAGTTGTTGAAAACGGAAATCGGGGGGAACTTTGTCCTGGTTGTCAAATATGGATACAAAATAATATAGAGCTGGGATATCAAGGTATTAATGAATACAAAGTGTTGATCTTATGATACTGGATAGCGTATGTATTTGCGGATACTAATTATTTACCTTGAATACTAGATAAAGTATATATTAATGGATACAAAGTATTGAAATTGGATATTAGATAAAGTATATATTAATGGATACAAAGTATTGAAATTGGATATTAAATAAAGTATATATTAACGGATTTAAGTATTTTCCATGGATACTGGATAGAGGATAAAATATTGAAGTGTTTTAGAGTTTGAAAGAGAAGCAATAATATTTTATAATCGATTATAAAAATTTACTTTCTATTTTTATTTGAGACATTTGTTTTAAAGGAAGCAGGAGGGGGGGGGGTGGCGAGGGAAAAGTAGTATTTTAATGAAGTACAGAAATGACTAGCATTGGATTACGAACTACACAGTAAATAAATTTGTAATCTCTGTTTGTCTGTCAGTTTGTTTTTCCGATCATAGCTCAGGAATCTATTGACCGATTTGCGTCAAATGTTAATTGGAGAATCGCGGGAAAACCATGGAAATATTCTAATTTGAGTGGCAGTCGACTTTTAAAGCGAAAATTTAGTTTCCCGGTAAAAGCGACCAAGTGCGGGTAAACTGAGGGAGTAACTATAAAGTATAAGTACCCTGGGTATGGGCAACGCAGGGTTCCCAAGCTAGGTTTTTATATTTTGTGTCAAACTAACCTTGTAAGTGTACTGCAATTGGCATAAAAACCTAAGCTATAAAAGAAAAAACTCTCAATACTTGATTTGAAACAAACTATGCAGTACGTCGTTTCTGTAAAGCGCTAGGGGGGGTAAGACGATGGGTGATTAGTAAATATATTTAAGATATCTCAGGAATCTTAAGATTTTTCTCTGTACTGCAATGTTAATTTTCTTAATACTCTAAATGTAACCTTCATCCTTATTAATACTTTTAACATGTAAATCCGCAGCCTTCCCCACATTTCCTGACTGCCTTCAGGGCGCTAAGCACCACCGTGCATATAGCGTCAAGGAGTCCAAGCCGGGGCAGGAGCACGAAAAAACATGCATACCATTCTAAATGGAAAAAAATATCTTAGTGAAGAGTGAACCAAAGCGAAACACAAATAAGCGGAAAGAAAAAGAGGAAGAACATGAAGAATTAGACGCAGAGAATGAATTAAGCCTTAATGATGAAGATCAGCTATTTGGTGAGACACAAATTTCATTGTTATGCTAAAAACTATCCCATTTCATCCCTTACGTTTTGTCCAAAAATTTTCTCAAATGTTTTATCATAAATTTTGGAGTGAGGGGTAAGATAATTTTACAATATTTGATCCATTTCTGAGCAATATTTTTAAACTTGTTCATCCCTACTCTTTAACTTTTTCTCCCAGAGAACAGTGTACATATATTTTTGTTCGCCTGCAAGGGAAAAAGAAGTGATGAATTGCATGTTTCCATCAGAAAAATTCACGCATTTACAAGATGAATATAGATAAATTTCCAGTTTTAACAATACATGTTAATATTATCAACCACAAAATTAAATATACTTATTAATTAATATTTGAAGGTTAAATGGTTAATAATGTTGCTTAAAGAATGGGATAAAACTACATATGGTCAAAATTAGTAATTTTTTGGTAAAAAAAAGAGTAATTGCAATTGGGGTGCTCAAGAATTTTTTTTGGATGCTCTGGCCCCGAAGTATGAAAAATGGCTATTGTTTTGCGATTTTAACGATTTTTAAAAGCTCAAGCATTTTGTTTAATAAACCTGTCCCTGGGCACCCCAATAGCGACTACTATTTTCTGTACCTAAAGTTGACCAACTTTACTTATAGCGAGAGAATTTCCTTCGAAAAACCTACACTTCACCGGAAATTGACTTTTCCTCGTGTTTTCTCGACTTACGCTTGTGATGAAATTTCATGAAAAGAAATTTTTCAGAATATTTTTCTCACTTTTTCCGTTTCCGATCCGACGAGGAAAACATCTTATTCTCGTATTTGATTTTTAATACTTCAGATCCGAGCGTGAAACTGGAGAATGATTCCAAAGAAAACGGTAATTTTCTGGTATATTTAATATTTAATTAATATTTTCATCAATCTAAATTGCTTTATATATAGTTTGGACTGAAAAGCAACATTTATAAGCTAATTTAGTCTCAAGCCTACATTACATTATACGTATTGTTAAAAAAAAGAAAAGAATAGAGTGTAAACATATTGTTATAAAACAAAGCCAAAAACATTACTAATATTACAAAGGCAATAAAAAGTAAATTATGTAAAATGTTATTTAATCAAGTTATGTATATTTTGAAGCTGAGCTGAAAACTTTTGAATAGGATATCCTTAATCCCGATCAGTTAATTAATCTGGAGAGTAATAACAAGAGGAAAACAAGCATTATTCAATCTCGAGATAAAGAAAAAAAGTGGATTAAGCATTAATCCCGATATCTAGAAATCAAAAGTTCCCAGCTCTGGTTGATAATTGAATTCAATCCGGATCCACAAAAATATGCTGATCCCTGGATCTAGACAAGGGGCAGAATATCAACATAACATGAAAATCCACGATTTGTTTTGCTGTTTTACAGGTGTATTAAACAATGCTTCTGCTCTTCTGAGCACTAAACGCTGTGAAAAATGTGATCTCAAATTTAAAACTCTTCAAGAACTTTACACGTGAGTCCTTATTAACATTTAATTAATGTTTCATTTATTTTCCTTTATCAATGACGGAGTCCATTATTAATCAATTGTTATATAATTGAAAACATGTAAGCATTTATTGTTTAATGTGGTTTTAAATTACAAACCAAGATATGATACAAAAACAACAATCACTAATTTCTTATTAAACTGCGCCCGCCAAACCATGGTTGGTTGTTCTAAGTTTTGTTGCTCAGGTTTGGATAATCATGCTAAATGTTTTATTATGATGATGTATTTGGATAATCATGCAAAATGTTTTATTATGATGTATTTGGATTATCATGCAAAATGTTTTATTATGATGGTGTATTTTGATAATCATGCAAAATATTTTATTATGATGATGTATTTGGATAATCATGCAAAATGTTTTATTATGATGATGTATTTGGATAATCATGCAAAATGTTTTATTATGATGATGTATTTGGATAATCATGCAAAATGTTTTATTATGATGATGTATTTGGATAATCATGCAAAATGTTTTATTATGATGATGTATTTGGATAATCATGCAAATTGTTTTATTATGATGATGTATTTGGATAATCATGAAAAATGTTTTATTATGATGATGTATTTGGATAATCATGAAAAATGTTTTATTATGATGATGTATTTGGATAATCATGCAAATTGTTTTATTATGATGATGTATTTGGATAATCATGAAAAATGTTTTATTATGATGTATTTGGATAATCATGCAAAATGTTTTATTAAAATGATTTATTTGGATAATCATGCAAATTGTTTTAATATAAAAATCAAGTACACGATATTGGGATAAAATGATAAGCTGGAGGTAGATTAGTTTATTATGACAGGTTGAGAATGAGGTTATTATCTTAATCTATCATATTCATTTTGTCTCAACTCATTTTTGACTTAAACTTTTGTTCAGTCATTTATCTGTTTGTGAGCCAAGTTCCGTGTTCTACCCGTGTAGTCAATGTACTTTTGTATTTCCATCTGAAGCAAAACTGAAAACACACGACAGGTAGTTATCTTACAGTTGGTTTGTATACTGTCCATTTTTACATGCTTTGTTTGAGTATTCTACTATACTTCAAAATGTTTGTTTGAATCAGCGCTAATCTACAGTACGCTTGAACTCGTTAAATGTCCGTTTGCAGATTTGTTATTATGATCGGTCAGATCTTAGTTCCAACTTTTCTGAGCCTGCGATTTAAAAGCTCAGCTCGAATCGTAATTCCTTAAGCCCAGCTTTAAGACTCAATCTTTGACCCAACTCTGATGACAGCTTGTGTTACGTGATTGACAGCTGCGATGTCTGAGATTTGACTCATGTTTTTAGGCCTAATAAAATAAATCCGACCTTGGTTGGTTTTAGTGGATTTTTAGGCCTAATGAAATAAATCCGACCTTGGTTGGTTTTAGTGGATTTTTTGGCCTAATGAAATAAATCCGACCTTGGTTGGTTTTATTGGATTTTTAGGCCTAATGAAATAAATCCGACCTTGGTTGGTTTTAGTGGAGAGTAAGGTTTGATGTTGAGTCTTGTTCTTATTAAAACCATTTTAGATACTGCGTTAATAGGAAAAATGTGATCTCCATAAAAAATACATAATTTAAGATTTTCTCTTTTTCTTAGATCACATGACGAAGAAATTGCAAAGAAATGTCCGATAGAGCAGTGCCAAAAGATGTTTAAGATCCAGTTGGGGAAAAGTATGCGGAACCATCTTAGAAATTTACACAAAATAAACCCAGGCAGGAGTTGTATATACATTTTAAGTACAAAATATGGACATTGACCATGAGATATTTTATGAAAAATATATTGGGTTGACCCTTGTAAGTTCTAAGGATATAATAACTGTCAAACTCAATAAAAAAAATTGTTAAAAAACCAGAAGAAATTTTTTAAAAAGGGGGCAGTCATATGGAAAAATGAAACAACTTTATACTATCATGTTTATTTCTCTGGTCTACCTATATTCTAATATATTATAATATCATGTTTATTTCTCTGGTCTACCTATATTCTAATATATTATATTATCATGTTTATATCTCTGGTATACCTATATTCGAATATATTTACTCTGCAGACTGTTTGCCGGAAGATTTGAAAACCAAAATTGAAATGGACAATTTGAGGTAACACCATCTTCTTAATTGAATTTTCCTTGTTATGTGTCGGGTCAACGTAATTTGTAGTTAAATACGATTATAATCGATCTAAGATTATTTTCATCTTCTGCGTTGATTTTTTTTTTCATTAAAAAAGAGTGAAATTCTAGGAGTAACGATTTATCAATCATAAAATTATTATATTTTCATCGATTTTTTTTTCTTCGGATATTTTAATATTGCAACAATGGCAATCTATCAGAGAAAATCTATTTTGCTTAGATTTTTAAGATCTAAATATATCATGTAATTGTTCAATTCACAATGGTACTCTTTGAACCTTTGTCTTATCAAGGATAAATGAGATTTCTTTATTTGTCTATCTTAAAATTGATCATTTTTATGTTTGTTTGTTTGACTGATCATAAATTATGATCTGAATTCCAAACATTGATTGAGGAACTTAGAATAATCTTGGTTAGGTTAAACATTCTTGGCAGAGTAGGTTGACTGAAATTGATGAAATTGGGTTTCCATTTCCAAGCAATGCTAGGCTCCCAGGCTAGTGTTGTATTAAAAATGAAAAAATTAATTGTATATACACTTGGACAGAAAACCACTGAGATCTTCCTCATTTTTAAAAGGTTAAACTGTACTGGTGTGAATCGGACATGCCACTCAGTTTTAAATTGATGGTCACTTGAAATTACGTGTACAGTCCCTTAAGAATGTATGTACTAGGGTGAAAGGAAGACGGTTCCATCCTTGTGATTTCCCTGGTTGTATTTATGTTGGGAAGGATATAACTGCTCTCAGGTGAACTATACTAATACAAGGAAAACGACTTTTCAATTTAAGTTCTGAATTCTAACCAGCTCTTTACCAATTTACAAGGTTACAAGAAAACCATGGAAAGCTGTCAACTAACAGCTTCTCTTCCTTCTAAGTTTATTTGTGTATAAGTTTATAAGTATAAGTATATTAGTTTACAGTGTAAGTGTGTTCCAATACACACAAAATTTGAAAGACGAGCAAGCTATAATGTAGAATATACAATTAACAATTACATGAAGTCTTTGTAGTCAATTATACTGGATTTAAAACAGCGCTTAGAGATTATGATATTGGTCTTTTTACTGTTATGAATTATATTTTTCTTGCACGTTCAGTATCGTGCATGGTGGTCTTAACATCCAGTTGTACATAGTGATGTGGTTTTAGTTGGTTCGTTTTTCAGTCATTTTTCGCTTATATTTTCTTTGAAAGTAAAACATTGGCAAACTATATAAGTTGCAAATGTATGTTAATTTTGTATTCTAAACATTTGCTTTTCTTTAAGCATGTCAAATTTTGATCCTGGCAGAAGATGTATGCAAAAAAACGTCTCAAAAACGATCCAAAAACGATTTAAAACCGAAGGTGTTGCATCAATCGTTCTTAGATTGTTTTTTATATTATTACTTTAAGATAAAGCTATTGAAAAGTTTAATAAAACAAGCTTTAACATTATACCATTTTTTAGATCTTTTAAGTTTTATTGAATTTCTTCTAAAAACGATTCAAACATATTTTTTAAAAATATTTTTACAAAAGATGTGAAAGCTCTGGGAGGAAATTATAAACATTGGCCATAATCTTGCAAATTGTTTATTCCTTCGTTTTCTCTCAAGATTAGTTTGCACTTTAAAAATTGAGGAATGGAGGGGGAATGCTTGGTTCATATAAAGTTAGATGATTTAATATTCACATTATTCATCCGTTTTGCGTTTATGTTAAAAAAAATTCCCAACCATTACTTTATCAGATTAAGAAATAAACAAATTCTGATGAAATAAAATTATCTATCTATACATTTTGCTTTTCTGTCTGTTTGCTTGTATCCAATAAACGTCAGAATGGCTAAACTGATGGGACATAAATTACCCCATTATATATAATTAGGGATGGTTAAAAAATTTAAAAAGTTACTTAGTACTATTTCTAAAATCCCTCAATTTAAAGGAATCATTTGCAAATTTGTTAATTTAAGTAAGACGTGGTAAAAGCTAACATTTTTGAACGAAGTGCCAGAGAGTCATATACGCTTAATGTAATACATGCATGTACAATACTTCTAAATTCATAGATATCACCGGCCTGTACATACTGGTGAAGCACTCTTCTGTTGTACAACTTGTGGGAAGAGGTTTAGGTACAAGAAGGAGCTTTTTCTCTGTGAAAAAAGGCACAAGGTTGGTTTAAAATTGTTTAAAGGGATTTAAAGTAGTTTTGTCTCTAAAATACTGCGCTCTCAGCTCAGCTACTCATCTTTGCCGGTCACTCATTATAAAGGGACTGTCATTGTTTTTCAAGTGATCCTCAATTTAAAAAGGAGCATCCTCGATTCACAACGGTACCCTTTCAGCCTGTATATGATCAATATTGTGGACGATATTTCAGGTTTTAGCTTGAAAATGTAATTTCCGTAGAGAAACCACAATTAAAATTGGCGCTAAAAGAGAATCAAGAATAGCTCATTCATTCTTGATAAGACAAAGCTTTTAAGAGTCACTTGAATTTTCGTCTACAGTCCCGTTAAAAGGATTCTTTAAATATTTAAGATTTTAAGCTAATTAATGTCTATAATTTATCTCCGTGATTGTTTCAGGGAGAGTATGACTATTTCTGTGTTAACTGTGATAAAAAGTTCTTGTCCAAGAAAAAACTAGGAAAGCATACTTGTAAATTTTAATGTGATACATATTTATCAAACATAAATAGAAAGTTGTTATAAATTTGCACAGCCTTTTCCATAGAAGACAAATAAAGTCCCACCCAAAGTTTACTAACTCAATATTAAACTAAATTGACTAATGTAGCAAAATAACTCAACCTTCCCAAGAAACTATTAAATATTGTACACACAAAATTTGTAAAACTTTAAAGGGGCTGTCGTTTTAATCTTAGTGACCCTGCCTCCATTTGATTAAGGCGTATTCACAACGGTACCGTCTGAACCTTTATCCAATTAATAATGTAAATCGTTCTTTTTCTAACAGTTCTTTCCAAACTCTCCATTCGTCTTTTAATGTTAAACTAATTAAATAACGTTGACAATTATTGAGAACACTGCAACATTTTGGCTTCCTGGATCCAGATCAGTAAAAATATTCGGATCCACGGATACGGATCCAAGGGCAAAATATCAACCAAAAACTGAGATAAAAAAAAATCTTTTTCTCTCAAACTGTTGAAAAAAGAGAGATTACCAAACATGTCCTTTTGTCTGAATGGTTCATCAGGTTGTTGCATAAAAATAAGTGAAAAAAAGTAAGAAAAATAATTTGAAGATTCTTCTTTTGTTAAAACAAACAGTAAATCTTAAATTGTTTATGACCTTGAAACGGATCCGGATCCATTTTTTTCCAGTGCGGATCCAGGATCCGAACCCGTATCAGCATTAAAATGATATGGATCCTAAGCACTGATTGAAAAGTATAAAAACTTAGATCTCCACGTGATGGTTCATACTGGAGAGAAACCCTTCTCTTGTCCAATATGTTACTTCAGGTACTGCTCTACATTCCCTTGTCAGGGTGGTATATAATTCAAAAAATTAGGGGGGGGGGGGGGGGAAAATTGAACAGCGAAAGGCAAGTTTTTTATCCTTTTTAATACTTTTTACCCTAGCATATATTTTGGTTTCCTCTAAAATCTATGTTCTCCAATTAAGCTAATGAAACCTTTAAAAAATGTTTAACATTTAGGGAAGAAAATAATTTTCAAAGGGGGGTAATTGTTCAAATAAATATAAATCGGATACCTTGTACAACTGAGATTAACAAGTTTTAAAAAAATTATTTCAAAAATAGATTGCCTATATCACCTCTAGGTTACCCAGTTTTCTCAAATACTTTCTGCCAATTTGGTCCAGCCGTTTGGCCAGCTATAACTAACATATAAATGAGCAAATAGCTTTATTATATAAATATTTGTTTGTTTATTAAGGTGCTCTAGAAAGGATAATCTTAACTCTCACATAAAGGTAAATAGTTCTGGTTCCCTTTAACATATAGTTCAATTAAAACATGTTTATATTTTTAATTATGCTCAAAGGCCCTTTAATCTTCCATACTTTAGGGTCTAGAACTTATCAAATGTTTGCTCCTTTGGATGGTTATTGGTTAATGATTTGTTTTACTTCAAGTTAATTTATAATCTTGCATAACAAGCCATTCTTGTCATAAATAAAAAATATCTTGTGAAAATGGCAATGGTGTTATTCAGTAGTCTAACTACTTTACAGGGAAGTTAAGGGAATTTTACTTTAACCAGAATTCCCAAAACGCAGCGAGGGATGTTTTGTAGGAAAAATTGGTCAAGGGAACCCGTAGCTAAGTAACATTTTTAATATCGCTAAAAAGTAGTTGTACACAATTTTATCGTCTTTTGAGATGAAAATGTGCAATTTTGTTCACGAAAACTTCGCAGAGTGGGTCTTAATTTTACTTAATTGTTCCAAACGACGTATAATAACTTAACGTCCCTCTCTTAAGGGAATCGGTTATGTTGGTCGCCAGGCGGTATAAATAATGTATAATGTATTTACTAACCAATGAGAACAAAGAATCTTCGAAGCTTCATCTTGAATCTGCTCTGACTATTTAAATAATAAATTTTAAAATGAAATAATTTTATTTTAAAAAGTTTTTTGTATTATGATTGAATTTTTATGCTTTAATGATGTTTACCTGTTACTATTGCTTGGTAGAAAATGTATGTTTTTATTGAAATTTCCAATGTTACTCTTTTGCCTCTGTTTGTTTTATTTTTGTGGGTATAGAACCATTTTTAAACTAGGTTTTGGATCATGATCATTGGATCAATAGTTTCTATTCAAATTAATGGCGCTATGGATTAATTTGAATTTTGTTCACTAAAAATTTTGTTTTAACCAATCAAATCCCACATGTTACCTCATAAAATCTTTTAAAAATGTGTTCTCTTAGCACTCTTTTACGTGTAAATAAGTGAAGTTTTGTTCTTATTTTAAAAGTTCTTTAATACGTGTAAGTTTCTTTAGTTTGCCGTGGACTTACAGAGCGTCCCATAACATATTGGATTATCTCCAAGCTTTAATGCCAAAATACGCACATAATACTCGAACAAACTAAGTAATTCCTGCAAGAAACTTTTTATATTAGCCTTATACGTATTTTTTTTTAAATGCTTAAATCTTTTTTTATTTTCTGATTGGTCCTTTAAATCTCAAGTTGAAGTTATAAACGATCTATTATGATGTGGGACACTCTGTATACATTGTTGATTTAGAAGCATCATGGTATGACCTGGAGGGAAGCTGAGCAGCAAACAGGAAGCTCTATCAATCAAACTAACAGGACACATATTGCATCTAGTCAAGATAAAAGGTTTGTACACACGGTTATTGGATTATGTTATTATTATAGATGTATTTCGTACACAAAGGTAAAATGGTACAATATGATAAGACAAAAACAAGAATAAAGTATAATATATAAATATAGTTTCTAGTCGGAACATAAAATGTTGATCATGGTTGCGATCTCATTATCATCAAAATTGTTTAAAACAAAATTATCTTCTTTAACTTTAAGTAATTCATGAAGAATGGTTAATTTCCATTCTTGGTCTAAAGGAATATGATTGTATATCATATTTTGTTTCACGCAAAATTTGTTTAGATTTCTAGATTGTTTGTTTGTTTGCTTGTTAGATGTTTGTTTGTTTGTAAGTTTGTTTGTCAAATTAAAAAAATACTTAAAAATGATTTAAAATAATTTTGATATCTTAGTGATTGTGGAAATCTGTCAATAAGACAGGAAAATATGGTATTTGTTTGCTATTATAATGCACGAAAATTATGTGGAGCTAAAAAAAAGTATAGAGAGACAATTTTAAAATATTCAAATTTCTCGTCTGAAATACAGCTTCATTCTAAAATTATATAGATAATAAAAAATAATTATTATTTTATATTTATTTTTTTAGGCCCCATGTCCAGATTGTGCAACTGAACGAGATAAGCTTTCAACCCTGAAAATACATGAATCAAAATTAATTTGAAAACAAAAAAATGTACTTTACTTATTATTTGTAATGTATAGCCAGATTTTGAAAAAATCTGTTTGTTTCAAATTTTATTTTAACTGCTTTTGTCTATTCTTCATCTATATGAGGAATTGTAAAATATGTTTTGATGCACATTTGATTAAAATGTTTTAAGATATAGTTACTAAAATATATACTCCACTGTGATTATAACCTAACAAATGTTTGAACTATGTTGTTACCTATTCACAGCGGAAAACTAGGCCTGAGGCCAAATTTAAAGAATTTGAGCCGCGGCTTAAATATTTTGAGTCGGCACAAATATTGTTGGTTTCGCTTAAAATTGTATTTAATTTTTTAAGATTTAAGCCGGCGCTCAATTAAAACCCCGATTTTGTCGGATTTGAGACGCGGCTCAAATTCATTAAATTCACACTCTGGGCAACTTGCTGTTCGGTGACGGCCGTTAATTTTTATTTGCCTGACCCAACCTGAATTTGTATAGTAAAAACCTTTAGCTAGATGTTAATACCATCTAATGAAAGGTTTATGGTCTTAAATTGAAAAGATAACATATTTTAGTAGTGTTGGGTTAGACCTAAGCATTAATAGTGTTCACTGCTCACAAAGAAATTCACTACATCGCTTAGATTTTATTTTACAGCAATGCCATTAACTCATGTTTTCAGAGTGTAAGATGGGGGAGCTTGGGTTCAGTATTAAGTTCTGGAAGTTAGAGAGCACCCCACAGGAGTTTAAGGCCAGGGATACGGTCACATTTGTCTTTCAAGATAGGCCTCCTGAAGAATGGTCAAGGCTTGGGTAAGTGAATGTTATCCCGGACTATCAACATAATTTCGAGTTCTGTTTTATATATTACTATTAATATTACTATTACTCTCTCTTACTCTCTCACTCTCTTACTCTCTTACTCTCTAATTCTCTTACACTCTTATTCTCTCACCTCACTCTCTTACTCTCTTATTCTCTTACTCTCTCACTCACACTACCAATCTCACTCTCTCAATCTCTCACTCTCTCACTCTCTTACTCTCTAACTCTCTTACTCTCTTAATCTCTCACTCTCTTACTCTCTTCCTCGATCTCTCACTCTCTTACTCTCATACGCTCTTACTCTCTTACTCTTTTACTCTCTCACTCTCTTACTCTCTTACTCTCATTATCTTACTCTCTTACTCTCTTCCTCTCTTACTCTCTTACTCTCTTACTCTCTTACTCTCTCACTCTCTCACTCTCTCACTAGGACTGGACAGTGTCGTCCGTTCACTGTGAAAGTCGGAAACTAATTATGATAAATTATTTGTCTCTTATTTTGATTGGGGAGCTCGGGAGACCCATGGGAGTGTTCTGAGCTTGATTTTGAGATTCTAAGTTTAGTGGGTCCACTTTTTTTGGGAAAAATAGCTTAATCAATTTATGACTTAGCTCGGGTAAATGGCAGGAGTAACTATGGGCAACACTGGGTTCCCCCAAGCAAGTTTTTGATAAAGTGTAAGAATGAAGTGATTCTAAGATTGCAGTGAAAGTAGAACGAAAGGAAGATGCTAATAACGATGTTTTTGATAAAGTGTTAAATGAAGGAGAGTGAAGAAAGATGCGACTCTAAGGTTGCAGTGAAAGTAGAACGGAAGGAAGATGTTAATAATGTTGTTTTTGATAAAGTGTTTAATGAAGGAAAGTGAAGAAGGAAGTGATTCTAAGATTGCAGTGAAAGTAGAACGGAAGGAAGATGCTAATAATGATGATGAAGACTTTGATCCAAGCCAATATTACAGGTACTAGTATTTTAGTAGCGCTTAAAGGGACTGTCAACGTCATGTCAAGTGAACCTTCAGTATCAGAATAAAGTTGAAATCCTTGCGTTTCTCTTTAAAAAATCATTACTTTAATTTTAGTTTTCTCTATAAAAGTGAATTGCTGATTTATGCTACAGAAACAGTGAAGAAGTCTGCAACTCCTTTAAGCATGTTGTTTCTTTTTTATCCTTTTTAACATTAAATTGAATACTTCGACATTATTTTAAATAATTTATTTAATAATTAAATAAATTATTCTAAATTGCAGTCAAAATGGTAAAAGAGAGCTGGACAGTGATAGCGATACGAAGGATGAGATAAATTATGATGTTGGTTGTGAGAACTGTGGGGTTAGTTTCAGGTACATTTTCTTAGGCCCTTCTTTCCGTATTGATATTTCAGAAACAATTGAGGAATTGACAGAATTAAACACTTTTAATCTAGAAAAATGAGAAGAAGGTTGGAAATTTTAAACGTTTAATCTTTATGTCCAATTTGAGGATAAATGCGTTATCCCTTAATTAAAGTTCTCTCTACAGGATATAACTACCCAGAGCCCGGGATTTAAAAATACGGCTCGGGTCTAAGCTGTCGTTGGACCTTATTTAGAGCTTGAGCTTTCGGATTAAAGCTGCATCTTATTTTCATTGGGGTTAACTCCTTAAGTCGAGCCGAATATCTTGCTGCTGTCAATCACGTGACACAAGCTGTCGTTAGAGTTGGGTCGAAGATTGGGTCTTAAAGTTTGGTTTAAGGAATTACGACTCGAGCCGAAGCTTTTAAATCGCGGGCTCAGGATTTCACAGAAAAATTAAATAAATCAATAGGTCTGCATAAGATGGAGATCAATAGATCAGTAAACAGAAAGCTGTTTTTGTCTTCGCTCTAGCTTTTAGTTTTAAAAAGTTAAGGATTTTTAAATTTAATTTGTTTCAAAGGTCTTTATTTCAAGAAAAGTTTATAGAAGTAAGGCAGTAGTTACAAATTATAAAATGCTTGCGACATTTGATATTCAAAGAAATAAAATAAGCCATTATCGTTAAACGATTAATTGGTTCCATTGTACCCTCTGTTCAATAATTCAAATTGATTGATTTAGATTAGATTGATTGATTTAGATTAGATTGATTGATTGATTGATTTAGATTAGATTGATTGATTAAGATTAAATTGATTGATTTAGATTTGATTGATTGGTTTAGATTAGATTAGATTGATTGATTGGATTAGATTAGATTGATTGATTAATATTAGATTGATTGATTTAGATTAAATTGGTTTACTTACTTGTTTACTTGTAGAGTAATCTGCAGAGGGCCTCTTGGTCCATAGCGCAGATGTCAGTTTAGTCCTCACGGAACAGTGTGTTCATCGGATCAGAGCTCCAAAAGTAGTCTCGCCCACACTGATCCTGATGGCATAAATAGGGTTACAGATTAATGTTTTCCAGTCTTGTCTTGAATTTTTTTACTGTTCTGGAATCTTTTATATCTGAAGGAAGACTGTTCCAGAGATTTACTACTCTATTAGAGAAGAAATTTTTTCTAATATCTGTTCTTGATCTAGTGGCAACAAGGTTCATACTGTAGGCAGTGTTTCTGGTCAGTTTATTAGCACTATCTCCAATTGTTGTAAACCAAATTGAGGCATCTACACGATCATGACCATTCAAAATCTTAAAAGTTTGTACAAGGTCAAACTTTTTTCGACGATCAGCAAGTGAGGTCAAATTCAGCTCAGATAGTTTTTCTTCTTAGGTTTTACCAGATAGACCAACAATGAAATTAACTGTTTTTTCTGGACTCGTTCTAAGATTTCAATATCTTGTATTAACCAGGGTGACCAGGCCGGGATGGCAAATTCTAAATGGCAGCGAACAAACTGTTTGTACAATAGAAGGAACACTTTCCTGTCCCTGGCTCTTGTTATTTGTTTCAGTATGGCAAATGCCCTGTTAGCAGCCTGAGTACATTGATTGGTTGATTTAGATTGGATTGGTTGATTTAAATTGGATTGATTGATTGAGATTAGATTGATTGATTGATTAAGATTAGATTGATTGATTAAGGTTAGATTAATTGATTAAGGTTAGATTAATTGATTAAGATTAGATTGATAGATTTTGATTAGATTGATAGATAGACTGATTTGATGAATAATTTGTTATGTTTGGAATCAGTGGAAAAAAGGTTCTAGATCTTAAATAGTTTCGTTTTTTTTGTAACTAAAATTCTTAGCGATTGTCTAACTTTTTAGAAAACTTGTTTAGTAACTAAAGATCATTTCTTCGTCTTATCTCAGAGACACCTTGTTTAGTAACAAAAGAACTATTATTCTTAAAATTTATGCATAAGTTGTCACAAAATATCATTTCATTGTCTTACCTTTTAGATAATTTTTTTAGTAACTAGTAATTTCTTTGTCTGATCTTTGATATCTTTTGCTTAGTAACGGAAGATCATGTATTTGTCTGATCTTATAGATACTTTTTTAGTAACTAGTAATTTCTTTGTCTGATCTTTGATATCCTTTGCTTAGTAACGGAAGATCATGTATTTGTCTGATCTTAGAGGTACTTCGTTCAGTAACTGATCATTCTACTGTCTGATCTTTGATATCCTTTGCTTAGTAACGGAAGATCATGTATTTGTCTGATCTTAGAGATACTTCTTTTAGTAACTGATCATTCTACTGTCTAATCTTTGAGATAAATTGATTGCCAACAAAGGATCATTGATTTATTTGTCTGATCTTTCTATAGATACCTTTCTAGAAACTGATTATCACTTTTTTATATAATCTTAAAGATATTAAGTAGAAGAAGATCATTTATTTGTCTGATCTTATAGATACCTTGTTTTGTAACTAATACTCTAATACTCTAATTTTTTAATTATTTTTGATTATTTTTTAGTTTTACTACTATGTTTGTTAACTGAAATTGATTCACTTTTATAGTATTTAAATATTTCATTTTATTTAGTTATTTTTTACTATATAATTATTTACAACTACTTTACAAGGCCAATTTTAGACAAAATAAGTCGAGAAAACCCGTGTGGTTACCAAAAAATCAGTTGTTCACTATTTTATCTTTTTTTGAGATGAAAATGCGCGAATATTTTCCCGAAAATTCACAGAACGGGTGGTTATTTTATTTAACTGTACCATTGGACGTTTTGTAACTTAAACTCCCTCTGTTGGGGGAATCATATGTCGGTAATGTTGGTCAAAAGGGGGTAAAACATGTAATTTTAATTTCTGCTTGTTTTAGCAACCGGCGGAAGATGATTGCTCATCTAATAGACTGTAATCCCGAGCAGATTGAAGAACTAAGTGAAGAGGAGGAGGATAGTGAAGATGATTATAGTGATAGTGATAGTGACGATGAACCTAGGTAGGAGATTTTTAGATTCTTATTACTATAAAATTCGATTCTTTGATAGACTGTAAGCGTAATTTCATGTGATCTAAGTTAAAAGCTGTAATTTCTCCATAGTTCAAGTTTTTTACTGCATGACGTCTCTGGGAAATATTTTTCTTTAATAAATACTTGATTACACAAGACGGTTGGAATATATCAATTTATTCCACTTAAAGCTCTTTCTCAGATTTAAACTTAATTTGATTTGATTCAATTTAATAATCAATAAAATTAAAATCTGCGGAATACAAAATTTATTTTTGCCGGTATAAAATGTTTCTTATTTGCCTCGAAATAAAGAAGAAATTTGTTATACCCAAGATCATAAAGTTGTGAGTACAATGAAGGATATTCTCTTAAAAAAAGGAATATTTTTACATTTAGAACAAAGCGTAGGATGAATATGGAATCCTGTGATAACTGCCTTAGAGAATTTAAACAAAGGTGATTATAGAATTAAAGTGATTAATCTCTTTTGTTAACATGGTCCCCACCTACGCATTTAGTTTCAATATAAAAGGGCTGATATTTACTACGTAGATTCGAACATTACATTTTTATTTGTTAGAGTCTAGGATTAGGATTCGTAGAAAATATACGAATGTTTGGTTCTGTCTTAAATTATCATCCAAACTAAACATTAATGAGTCATCGGAAATTAACTAATGAGAGATTGATACAGTAACCGCTTGATCTTGAACATAATCTTCATGAACATGATCACCATGAACTTATTCATCAGGATCATCATGAACTTAATCCTCATGATCATATGACCATCATGACAAGATCATCATGAACATGATCATCATGAACATGATCATCATGAACATGATCATCATGAACATGATCATCATGAACATGATCATCATGAACATGATCATCATGAACATGATTATCACGAACATGATCATCACGACCATGATCATCATGAACATGATCTTCAAGAACATGATCATCATGAACATGATCTTCATGAACATGATCTTCATTAACATGATCATCATGATAATACTTAAATATGCGCAGGAGCAACCTGATTCGCCACCTTGAAGAGTGTAACCCTGACCAGCTCATGGAATTACCAAAGCTGAAGAAAAGAAAAGTTAGCTCCACAGGTCAGTAACAAGGGAAGCCAGGGGGTAGGGTAGAAGGGGAAAACTTTTAAAAAAGCTTCTTTACCCCTTGAGCCTTGTTAAGTTCTTAAGAAAAGCTAGGGTTCAGCAATGTTAAAGGGACCAATTCACTTATTTGGATAATTTCAGGGGTAAACTAACTTTTTCACCAACCACAGTTATCTGTTAAAAGTAAGACTAATTCCAAAGGATAACAAATAGGCTATTTAGTTTATCCTGAAATTATCCCAATAATTGAACTGCCACTATAAAGTTTTTAGCGTTAACATTTTTAACATGAGCTAGGTGTCAATTGTGTTGCAGAGCACGGATCAAAAAGGGGGAAATAGAGAAGAAAGAAAAATTTCATTAATCATTAATTCAGGAGGAGCTGGTCCTTATACCTGTCGAGTTTGTCATCGACAATTCATCTTTAAAAAGAGTTTACACAAGCATGAGGAGCTCCATAGGTAGACTTCACAAAATTTTATTTCAAAGAGAAAATCAGTGTTTTTTATAAAATGCTTCTTTGAATTAGTGTCGCTAGTTATTCTTGTACTTCTGCCTTTTCAAAAGCAGCAAGAAACTACTGTAATACAGGGTTTCCACAAAGTTGGAGACTTCTGAGAAAACTACAAAAAAATATCCAGTCGGTTTCATTTTATTCACGATTCCCTGCAACCGTAAACTTGTTTCTTTCCTTTATTTTGTTATAATAACGATAGTAACTGTTTTTAATGGCTTATGTATATGAAATGGAATATGTCAAAAAAAAAGAAGAAAAAATCCACGCCAAACAATTAAAAAGAACAAAAATGTCAAAGAATAAATAAAAATAAAAGAAAAAAAGACAAAGGAGAAAAGAAAACATATCGAAATAATTATAAGAAAACAATCAATAAACAAAAAATGCGATTCCATTAAAAAAGAAGAGAATCCATCTTTTATATTATTCATATGCACATGCATTTAAAAGATTTTAAAAGAAAATATACACCCCTGTTATACTGTTAATATTTAGTGATGATCCCGAGCATGCCTCTCTTCTCAAGAGTAAAAGTTCAAAACGAAAAAAGTCCGCCTCCAAGAATGCGCATGGTAAGGCATCAAATATATTTTAATATATTATATATTTAGTCTTATCAAAGCGGCCATAAGATAAGCCTTTAATCAGACTTAAACCTTCTTTAAAATCCACCCATAAAACCAGAAAACCCTACGAAGACTGACAATGTTTTGGTTATTAGTATTATCACTATTATTACTTACTATGTAAAAAATGAAAATTTGCATGTGAAAGAAATGATTTAAAAAAAAGATTGTTACTTTTATTGTCATAGTGTTATCATTATTAGCATTATTATATTATTATTATTATGATTATGAATATGAGTATGAGTATGAGTACGAGTATGATTAAAAGTAGAGTATAAGTATGAGTTAGCTTTGGCGTTGGCGTTGGCGTTGGCGTTGGCGTTGGCGTTGGCGTTGGCGTTGGCGTTAGCGTTATAACTGTTTTTATCATAATCATTATCAATGTTAAAGAAAGCTATAAATCTACACGGTAAGACATATTTGACAAAATAATAATTATTTTAAAAATTCTTTCCAGGCCAATATCAATGTGATCGTTGTGAATGTGATTTTAAAGTTTTCTCTGCATTGGACCGGCACATGGAGGCTCACGACCTGGCAGCTAAGTAAGTTTTAAATTTAGATTTTTACCGCCTTTAGGCCAATATTACCAACCTATGATTCCTCCAACAGAGGGACGTTAAGTAACTTATCGTCCCTTGGGACAATTAAGTAAAGAAGGACCCTCTCTGCGAAGTTTTTGTAAAAAAAAATCTTTTGTGAAAATTAAAAATTTTACTTAACCACGGTTTCCCTCAACTAAAGTCTTGGGAAGTAAAGTAAAATTCCCTTAACTTCCCTGTAAAGTAGTTGTAAATAATTAGAATGGTTATTTTTTATAAACTGATCAAAACTTTAGATGATTAACTTAATAAGCAATTTTAATATTTTTATTATTAATAAACAACAAAAAATTTCTTCATTCTTCACAGTATAGTAAAATGTTGTGGCATTGGTCGATTCTACAGAGGATATGTTGGAGTTTATAAACTTCAATGTTGCTCAAAAAAGTAGTTGTAACAAAACTGGGTTTTAAAACAGCATAAGTGCATTACTATTTATTTCTTTATCGTTCATACCAAGAATTGTCAGATTGTTATCACTTTTCCTTAGCAATTCTCCACATCAATTTTTAAGTCAGATTATGAAAATAATTTTAAAACTTAAATTTTTGTTTTATGAAAATTATAGCTAGCTATATAGCATAACTTTTTATTTCCTGCCTTTTCAGTTCTCCGAGGAAGACGACATTTTAATTTATAAAAAAAATTTTGTTATCTAGGAGTGCCCCGAACCAGGCGGATATAGAGGAGGGCTCAGGTTTTAAAATGATTGATATAAGAGATGGAAAGATTATGCGTTGTAAAAGGTAAGAATCTTTTTTTATAAATTTTAACCACATTTTCTGTATTTTATTCAATTTCCTGCATTTTTAAAACAAAGTTTTGTTTTTTTCTACAACTTACTACTTTTTTATCACAACTTACTGTATTTTTTCTACAATTTCCTGTATATTTACCACAGCTTACTATATTTTCCCTCAACTTCCTGTATTTTTACCACAACTTACTATATTTTCCCTCAACTTACTATATTTTTACTTACTATATTTTCCCTCAACTTACTGTATTTTTACCCAAGCTTACTATATTTTCCCTCAACTTACTGTATTTTAATCACAGTTTACTATATTTTCCCTCAACTAACTGTATTTTTACTATAACCTGTGCATTTAACTCTGATTTTCTGTATTCTTCCCTGTATTCTCTTATTATGAAAATGTCTTAATGTTTTATATGTGATTACTACTATTGAATAATTTATAGATGTGATTTGGCGTTCAAGAGCCACGGTGTGTACAGGATGCATATGCAGAAGTTCCATAAAAAGATGTTTCATTGTGAAGAGTGTTCGAAGAAGTTCACGCTTCCAAATACCTTGATTAAACACAGGAATCCTTTAAAACAAAACAAAAATGGTGGAGGGGGTAAGCTTCTCAAAACTGTTTGCTCACAACATTTAGAGAAAAATATTCAAAAGTAAAGAATATAATTTTGTTAAGATGTACATTTACAGAATACAGTAGATAAAAAAATAACAAGAAAATTGAGAAGAAAAAACAGTTTGCACTTTGCCCTTTTTATAACTAATACACGCTCTTTATCTTTTAAAGGATATTATTTCAAGATTAAATTATCATACAAACTTCCCTAAGTCTTGTGCTGATTGTGGAATTGTATTACCAACTAAACATCAGTTTGTTAGACACGTGAACACTCAACATGGAACGGCATTTCAGGAACACCAACTGTATGTATTATCAGAGCTTGGAAATCTGCAGATTAATATAATCTATATTCTATATCCGCTGTGTAATTGTACCTTGAAGGGTTAAATAAAATAGTAAGATAAAGCACTGATCCTCAAATTTAAATCGAGATCAAACGATCGCGATTACGAGTAACCAACACTCAGTGTATGTGTATGTCGGGTGATAAAATATCTTATTGTCTAAGTATCTTGTTTAGAACTTCAAGATGGACTAAATTATTTGCTCTGATTTAAAAAAAACCCTTATTACTTCAAGGTGGGAAGCGCATTGAATTTTATTAGAACTTTATTTTATCAGTTGAAGCGTTCAGGAAAGTAATGTGCCTTGTGAGATATGTGGAAAGTTAGTCAAAAATAAATATACCTTGAAACAGCATGTGAAGTTAGTTCATGAAAAGAAAAAAGGTAAAAATAAAATTGAAAATGTTTTCAGAAAATTGTTTGAATTGAGAAGTAAGAAATCAATCTATAGTTCACTTTTGCAATTAGTTACTACCACTTTTCTTTCTTGAATTGAAGAGACAGAATAAAAACTAAGCTATATTCTACATTTTAGGAGAGTTTGCTTGTGATCAATGTGGAAAAGTATTAAAGTCTAAAGGAAGTTTAGATTATCATAAGAGAACCCATACTGGGGAGTTTGCCTATAGGTAACTTATTAATGATTTTTTTATGTATACTACAGTGCATTCAGAGGCGTAAACAGCAGACGGGATTGTCATTGTCATTGTCATTGTCATTGTCATTGTCATTGTCATTGTCATTGTCATTGTCATTGTCATTGTCATTGTCATTGGCATTGGCATTGGCACTGGCACTGGCACTGGAACTGGCACTGGCACTGTCATCACTATCATCATTATCATCACTATCGTTGTCATAATTAGTATCATTATTATTGTCAAAATTGTCTATATTATTTTTTTAATTACTATCATTGATATCACTCACATTTGGTATTATTTTTTTCGTGAAAGATCCTGATGTCTATTGTTATATTGTAAATGATAATTGTTCAGAATCATCTTACCACCCACTCCGACGTGAAGCCATTTTCTTGTCCTATTTGCGGACATCTTAGCTCCACATCATCAAACTTAAACTCCCATACAACTAAGGTCGGTAATCCTTAATATCATATATTTTTCGAAGATATGAATCTGTGCTTAAAGGGACTGCAGACGGAATCTGAAGGGATCTTTTATTTATAGATAAAAAAATTCTGTATCCTTTAAACCTTTGTTTGATTTTTCGCGAGATAGATATTCTTAAATATTAAGTGCCGGGAAACTGATTGTACACTCAGTGTGAATTGCGTCACTTGGTTTCGAAAGGCACATAATTTTTAGCGAGAAAAATTCTCATAGCTCCGTCGATCTTGATTAGACAGAAGTTTGAAGGGTACAGTTTATTATTGGACTTGCCACTCCTCAAATGCAGGGTTCACTTAAAATTTAATTTGATGCTGATACCGTGGATTTAAGTTTCGTAAATGTTAATGCTAAAATTTGATTTTATATTGAGATCTGTTTGTCGTTCTTTTGGAAACAAGTTTAAATTTGCGTTTCCAATCCAGACCGAAAAAGACTTTTTATATTTTTTTCTGGCCTTGATTTATAAACCATAATAATGTAATAATTTTATTTTAGGTTCACAAAATCACATTGTGCCAGGCAGAAGGAATGATGAAACGGAACCGACATGGCCGGGAAATGAACGAAGAGGAACTTGAGCAAAACAAGTAGGATTTTTCCTTAATTGTTTAGCCTTTATTACAAGGGGTGTAATGTGTAACTAATAAATTATTGGGTAAAAAGTGTGAAATAAAAGAACTTGCTTTTTCATGTCCTATTTTTCATTCTTTTCCCCAGATCTTTAAAAATCATTCCCCCGTCCCTGGCGGGGGGGGGGGGGGAAGGGTTAATTCTTAATAATATTTACCACTGCTTATAAAGTCAAAATCGTCTTTTGAAGTTCACCATTTTCAAACAAACAAAATTAAGCAAAAATATTTTCAGGATAACTTTGCAACGTAATCAGAAGGTCCCCGGTGAACCAACCCGAGTAGTTGCGGAGGCAAGAAAACGCGGGAAACCCAATCGTGCTCCAGCGCCGCAGCAACAGCCACCAGTTGTACACCACGATGCCGCAGTTGCGCAACACTCGTGGGAGAGCAATATGGCGCGTATAGAAGCAGGAATACGACAGGTAAATAATCGATGTAAAACATTTCAAAACTGGAAAATTAACAAATATTTCGTAGGATATGATGAATCGCCATGAAATGGCTCGTCATGAAAATGCTCTTGGACGCCTTGATCCTCATGCGCTGAACAGAATCGAAAATCTGTCCCGCGAAGATACTATTCCCAAGCAGGAACGACATCTACCGGAGGAAGCGGCAAATCTTGTAATGCCGCGTCACATGCTGTTTCCGGTGCATAAATATTTTTAAAGAAAACCTGGTACTCGTCAATAAATCATCTATACGTACTGTATATGCAAGCTTGAAGTAGAGGTGTAACCTGAGTCATGACAGGTTTATGTTTGAATTCGTTCAATTCATTCCATATTAAAGATTTCAATTAAGTATTTTTTATGTATCTTGTTTAAATATGTAATTAAAGAGCATTGAAAAAGTAAGAAACTCTTTAAGTCAATTAGATCATTTACTTTATATATTGTTTACATCTAAAATACCTGCTTTACATTTACAAAAATATGAACGGTCTTAGTACTTCTTTTTCTCACAAAAATAAAATATGAACATTCTATTTTTTTTTCTTACAAAATACGAACGCTGTCGGATTCCTTTTTTCATCACAAAAATATGACGGTCTTTAATTCTTCTCACAAAAATAAAATATGAACGGTCTTAGATTCTTCTTTTTTTATCACAAACATATAACGGTCTTTAATTCTTCTTTTTTCTCACAAAAACAAAATATGAACGGTCTTAGATTCTTCTTTTTTTCTCACAAAAATACGAGCGGCCTTAAAAGTTTCCTTTTTTCGCAAGAATACGAAGGGTATATGCAAAATTATGCTACTAAAAAATAGGATAAAAGCAACACAAATTTTTGTGCCAATTTGGTTTGTATTGTTTCTCCTGTTTTTTACAAGAGTTGTGAATTCTCTATCTTATTTTTAACTCTCTATAATTCTAAAGTAAAACTTTTAAATTTGCAAGAACTAATTATTTGATATCTATAGTGATGCGATAAAAAAGTTATGTTGTAGAATTATGACTCATTTCTTACAATCTTCATACCAAAACAATATCTGTCCATTATACAATTTCAATTTTTTTCAATGAAATGTATTGTTATTTCCTGAAAAAAAAATTTCTTGTAAAAAATACGTACGTCCAAATTATTGATTTTTTTACAATTGTATAAATTTAGATATGTATTTAATATGACTGATAAAATTGTGTGTGCATTTAAAGAAAATCTGCTTGTTTGAAACTGGTCACAACATTGCCATATTTCTGCTTATTCTTTTTCTAATTTCAATGTACATGTTTTACATTAAACTGCATGCAGTACAGTACCGTATCCACTCTTCAATGCAATAGATAAATTGTTTGATTAATATGTACATTTTATGTAAACCATTTTTATGGGATAAACTTAAGGTGAACACATTATTATTATTTTATGAGTATTATTATCATTGCTTTATATTCTGTAATCATTCCTCACAATAAACACAATCTATTTCACTAAAGCGGGGCTGGGTGTTGATTTAACAAAATTCCAGAAAAAAATGCTGTTCTGTCCGCCTGCGAAATGTCCAGGAAGTGGAAACAAGATGTAATAGAGTTAGGTAAGTTGCAGTTTTTATTGATTTCTTCTCTACCGAAAATTTGAACTTTTTCTGTTAAAGGTCTTTGATTTTTGAAAGGATTTCTGTTAAAGGATTTTGATTTTTGAAAGGATTTCTGTTAAAGGATTTTGATTTTTAAAAGGAATATTCTAGTTGTTCAGATATTAAAAATACTTCATGACTGAAAAAATGTCAGAATTTTTATTTTGTACACGAATTTTAAAAGTTAATTAACTGAACACGTCAATTTCTATTGAATGATGTATTTTTGACTCAAATAGACAGAAACTGAGAATCTGGAAAATTGGAAAATGATTGCACTTAACACGTCTTTGTGTTTCTAATAAGTGTTTGTAACCCTACAGAACAGTTGTAATCCTTTAAATATTCCAATATTTAGTAACTTAATAAATTGAATGGTGGATTTTCTGCTAATTATTATGAAAATAATTACACATTCCTTTTCAAATTTTCAGAAACCAAGCATTCGATTCCTTGGTTTCTACGAAATTATGGACAAATGTTAATTATTATTACCATTTGGTGTCATTCTCATTTTAAGTTAAAACGTTGATTTGAAATTTTCAAAATGATTTCTATCACATATGAAAATGAAAATGATGATTAATTATTATCATTATTTAACATGTTTTTAGTAATTTATTTTAATTTGTAAATACCATTATTGCAATAGGGAATGAATGATAAAAACCTCAAAGGAATTCAAAAAAATATTGGCTAATGACAATCTCAGAAATTCGTCGTGAAGTCAGAACTGTTGTATTGTGAATCAATCATTGATCTCCATCATTTGCAGAACTACAGATTAATTTAATTCCTTTTCGATATCTTTTGATGATCATACCCTGCAGGGATAATTTAAATAAACGGATTGAATATCGAGATCAATTTCTACACTCCCACTTCAACCCTGAAGGGTACCTCGGGGCTAACAAAAAGCTCAAAAAACTGTTTTTCGGAAGATAAAACAGCTTAAATAAAAACTACAAACATTTGTAAATCGGACATGCCACTTTATAAAACGGAGGGTTACTTTAAATTACGTCTCATTTCTTGCAGATTGTTAAAAGTTCCAAAATCTTAACTGACATTTTTTTAAACCGAACTTTTGTCAGATAAGTGTGATAATTTTCAACAGTTTTTTACCAAAAATGTCAAATTCCTTGAAACAAGATTACAGTACAACGCAGAGGCTGAGTATAAACACCAACATGTTATGTATATTACAAAACAAAAAAGAATATATTATAGACCAAAACCAAGCTGGTAACAAGATAGGGATTAAGGAGTAGGGAGTACAAATTATATAAAAATGAAAGAATAAAAGAAAGAAATTCCATATTTTAAATATGAGAAAACTGCTACTACAGCTCGAGATCTAAAAATCAATGTTGAAAGTAAACATAAAGGCAAGAAATAACCTCACATATCGGCTTTCACTTTGTCAATTTAATAATGTGGCCGCAATCAAACCAAATAAAATCCCAAAATGCGGTGTTTGCCATAGGCTTTGTTTAATTTCCCTTCTTTATCTTCTTCTTTTTTCTTTAAGGAAGCCGCCTTGATCGATGTTCAAACCTTTTGCATTCTCAATTCAAGGCCAACTCCAGGGATTCAAGGTAAACATTTTTTAAACAAATATTTCGAAATTTTTCTATCAATATTTTAAATTTAAAAGGGACTGATGGCGTTTCGTGTCCGATTTACAACAGGACCCTTCAAAGCTTTGTTTAATCAAGAATGAATGAGAAAGGCATGATTTTTCTAATTGCGGATTTCTTGTTACAGAAACAATAGGGGAATTTTCAAAATTTAAGCCTTGTTTAGCTAAAAGAGCAACAATATCTTCCACAGTATTTATCAGATAAACTTGAAAATACGTTTACATTCCTTTAAATGACAACGATTTTTACAGCGACGATATGGCCCCGGCCAACCACACTGTCGAGAAGGTTGTACGGGACAAGAATACAATTGTTCAAATCACTGTACACACCAAACCAAACCAGAATATTCCGCTAAAATCAAACGACAGCAAATCCGCCAAACATTCCGAGCGCAAGCCGACCAGCCGAAGCCCTCGTCGTACAAAACCTGGAAGAACAAAGTCTGTAGCTGTCGAAAAAGAGGTATAGACCAAGAAACGATTGTTCGTTCTAATTAAGTGAATTTGTATTAATTTTTTTGAAAATCTGTCTTGGACGATATGCATGTTCATCTTGGCCGCTAGTCAACGATTGTTTCTTTTAGGTTTTGACTCAGGAACGAACTGTGCCTAATCTTATTGAAGAACTTAAACAGATAATTCAAGCCAGCGGTGTCAAGGTTTACATTATTTTCAACACATTTTGAATATTTTTTTTTGTGGTGATATTTTTTATATTTGTTAAAGAAATATTGATAGATATCTTTTTGTTTTATCAATGTTCTTCACTAAACTCATGTTATTATTGTTGTAGTGATTTAATGGAGGCGCAGTGTTTGTTTGCGTGTTTGTATGGGTGGTTGCTTGTTTTTTAGTGTCCAATGTTATGACTCTGCATATTTTGGTCGTTCATGAATCATGATACATGGTTGATAGTTTGTTTGTTTGGCTAATTACTTGATACTTGAGTGTAGATCCTCAGATTTTTTAGGAACTGATGATCATCTGATGGTAGAATGGTATCCTCTAGGTTTGTGAATTGATCCCAGTGATCATTGTGGATCTAATGTAGTGATCATAATTGTTATTGAATACATTTACATTTTTGGCAGATTTCATATATTGTGGTAGTTTATTCCAAGAGTTTACAACTCTGTTACTAAGGCACTTCCTTCTCAGTTCTAGTTTGAGGTTTTTTGGTTTCAGGTTGAATATATCAGCAGATTGTCTTGTTTACTGGCTTAGTCCACATGCGGGAACCACATAGACTTGTTTGTTTGTTTGTTTGTTTGTTTGTGTATGATGTTATGGTTTATTTTGGTGGTTTTGTCTTGTTATTTTAAATGACTTGTTTCATACTTAGTTCATTTCTCGGAAGACTTTTTTTTATAGATTTTTTTCATAAAAACGTTTTGTTCAGGATGTTTACGAGTTTCTTAAAGAAATTGACGAGCAAGACTCTCGGAGAAAATCTGAACCAATCAAACCTGTCTCTGGACCCAGTGGAGGAACCTGCATCAACCCTCCGAAAGAAACTAGAAAAGATAACGGAAGGAAAGATAATGAGGAAGTAAAAGAGCGAAGGAAAGAATGGGAGGAGGAACGTGCAAGGAATATGGAAACTTTGACAAAATATAAATCTGAAATTGCAAGGTAAGAATTGATCATCAAATCATTGGTATGATTTTTTATGAGTGTTTGATTGATTAGTTGGTTGCCAGGTTCATTAAATGGTTAGTACAATTTAATTTGAGAGTGATTGATTGATTAATTAGTTGTTGGGTTCGTTAAATGGTTGGGTTTATTTGATTTGACGAGTAATTGTATGATTAATTGTCTGCTGGGTTCATTAAATGGTTATTATGATTTGATTTGATGAGTGGTTGATTGATTAATTGGCTGCTGAGTTCATTAAATGATTTGTTGATAAACGAGTTACTAATTGATTATTTGGTTGCTGGATCGAATAAATGTTTATTATTGATAAATTGATTAATTGGTAGCTGATTAATTAAACGGTTGCTGTGTTGAATAAATAATTGGTTGGTCATTGAGCGATTGATTGATTAATAGGTTGCCAGATTAATTAAATGATTGATTGATTAGGTATCGATTAGGGGATTGTTTAGGTATAAGAGAGCGTATGAAACCACATTAGCTCAGACCAGGATATCCCAGGATACTAATGAGAGCTTAAACGCCCAGGTAAAGAAATTCAAAAGGTTTAGTAAAGTTATCTTGGGCCATGATATGTGGGTTTAGGACGTCCCTACATTTCTGATTGATTGATTGATTGATGGATTAATTGACAAATTTGTTTGGTGCTAATCGGAATAGCCGTTTTTATTTTATTTTGGCATGCATAGGTGGCTGAATTTTGTTGATGTAATTGAACTATTTATTGTTTGTCTTTGTTGTTGAACTATAAATTGTTTGTTCAGGTAGTTGAACTATTAATTGCTTGTTTAGGTATTTAAACTATTAATTGATTGTTCAGGTATTTGAACTATTAATTGAATGTTCAGGTATTCGAACTAGTAATTGATTGTTCAGGTAGTTGAACTATTAATTGATTGTTAAGGTAGTTGATATATTAATTGATTGTTCAGGTAGTTAATATATTAATTGATTGTTCAGGTAGTTGAACTGAAGCAGATGATTTCCAGGTTGACCGGAAACAACAGGAACCTGGTCCAGCTTGGTTCTGATAGGGCAGCACAGGTTTAAACATTCTCTTCGGTTTCTTATCAAGTCTGTTTTCTGTTTAAAAGGGTTCAATCATTTATTTTTTGTTTTGTATTTTTCTTCATTCTATCCTAATTAATATGTTTTCTGTTTTAAAGGTTTAATCATTGTTATTTTTCTTCTCTTCTTTCTAGTTCTCCTCAACTATGTTTTTATTTAAAGTTGTTTAATCATTGTTTTTTATTCTTCACTTATTTCTTTTTCCTATCAACTGTGTTTACTGGGTTTAAAATTTATTGTGTTTTTTTAATCCACCTTTTTTATACACATATTTATTTTACAGTTTTTTGTACGTTATTACTAAGATTTTCTCACACCTAGAAAATAAACGATTTTTTATTTCTTTCTTCCACTGTTTTAAGCTGGTGGATGGCCCTGCAAAAGTATTTTTTTCTTTAGCGGTATTTTATAAAATTGTTGGCGTACCACAAAATCGGTTTTTAAAGGGAGTAAAAAAACTAATTCTGAAAACATATCCACCCGAAAGTAGGAGTTTTGAACGTCGAATTTGCGCTCAAACTCAGGATTTACAGATCTTAGAAAAGTTTAATATGTCTCAAATGAATCCGAAAGAAGTTTTCCACAACACTGCATCCTCAGTTCAACTACCTTACATAGCCGGTCACTCCCTTTAAGGAAGGAATGTTGAATTGATTGATGAAATGTTTAAGGAAGGGAAGCTGCTAGAACTAGAGAATAAGAATAAGCTTCTAAACAGTCAGCTTGATAAAGAGATAGCAACCGTAAAAGCCTATGAAGCAAAATTCAGGTTTGAATCGTCTCACTTCCATTTTTCTTTTGACTGAATTTCTCCAAAATTTAGAAAAGCTGCCGGATTTGTCACTTACTTAAGGTGGAATTCACAAATAGTTAATCATAATTTAGTCAGTATTTTGTATTATATGTTTTTGTTTATCTTGTTGGCCGACAACTTTGAAAAGCAAATTGCAATAAACCTGGTGTTGGTTCTGATTCTACTTCTTTTTGATATCTGTTGTGTTTGATTATTATCATAATTTTTATAAATTATTATAAAGATTTATACACACACATAGATATATTATATATATACATATTACGTATATTATTGGTGTAGTTTAACTTTGTTTTGTTTAAATCATTGCTCAGGATCCATTTAATTTTGATGCGGAACCGGATTCTGGATCCGCACTGGAAAAAAATGGATCCGGATCCAGGAAGCCAAAATCTTGCGGATCCAACGGATCCGGATCCTAAGCACTGGTTTAAATTTATATGGAAATAAAAAGAATTCTAAGGATTTCAAATTTATCTTTCTATATTCTCTTTGATAATTGTGAACATTCCCTTTGACCAAATAGTCTCTGGGAAAACCAAGTGTGGGATAAAGGTCCAGCTTTTAAACTGTTGTGGGACTGGGGTTCATATAATTCAATTTATAATTCGTGAAGGGATCGGGGTTGAAAGTACATTTAGGGGAATGAAAGTACACTTTCTCTGTCATTGTGATTTTTGGCAAGTTTTTGTGTACGTGTAGTACACTGCAGAAATGTGTACTGCATTTGGGGTGTTAAAATATGTAAATATCAGTAATCAATATAAGAGATAAATTATGATATACAGAAAAATAAACACTCCCTTGCAGTATACATTCTGCACTTTTGCAGTACGGAATTTTTTTTACAACTTGACATCATACTTACAATTGTTTACAATGACAACATCAATATCAATCAATCAACATTTAGTCACATTAGATGGAATTATATAGACCCCTGGTGTGGGACAGTGCTTCCTACACCTGGCGGTAGTCTGGGGGTCTACATTGGGGTATCTTGCAGATTCTGTTTCCTTATGTTCCTTATTCTCTAGGGAGCAGGAGGCTGAGATAGCGAGGTTGCGAAGTCTAACCGTTGATATCCGAGCTCAGCTACAACATGGTCTAGAAGGTTTAACAATTTTTTGCATAAAAATGTATTTTTTTATTTTTCGGTCTAAATTGGTTCGTCCTGATCTTCTCAGAATTCAGAGGCAGTCTCTTTAATGAATTTTATTCCATTTTTATTTTAAGCAGTTTACTCCAGTCGTTTTACCTGATGAAAACACTTTTGTTTTATTAAAGGGGGGTATAATTTTAAAACTGGGGAAGAAAAAAAATTGAAAATCAAAAGGCAAGTTTTCCATTCTTTTTGATACTTTTTTCCCATGTAAATCGGGTTTTTTCATATACAAATATACAATGTTCTTTGAAAGATCTGACGGGGGCGGGTAATCTTTAAAGAAACAATATAGAACACACCTGTTTTATTAGCTTACTCTCTAATTCAAGCATTACTATGAAAGACTATCTACAACACTACCTATTCTGTGTTAAGATTTTCTAACATCTCATATAAGGAGGTTAATGTTGGGTCGACATCGACTTGACATCATAAATAGATAAATGATAGATTGGTTGATTGGTATTGAATTTAGGACTGGAGCTCCCGAGGCCCGGTACAACTCTGCCGCAATCCCTGGTTAACCGAACACAAGATATTCTTGGACAAACCCTTTACAATCATGCTCCAACCAAACCAAACCATCCTTCTCCAACCAAACCAAACCACCCTGCCGCGAATAGGAAACAAGTTCGTGGCTTCAGACCCACAGACTCAGCCTCTAACACAGACTCGGGAGCATCGAGGCCAACCTCCCCTTCCTCTGATTCTGCTATTGAGGATCCAGCCTCCGAAAGTAGAAGTTTAGCAGTACCTGTGTTTAATCCTCCTCCACCTCCGAAATACCTGCCTCCAAACTTTAGCTCTGGGACTGGTGTCCAGGAACGCTCTTTACCAGAACATATATTTAAAAGCAACACAGGTTTCTATACATTATTCAGTCATATTCTCAAAGAAGCGGAATTTTTGACAATCGAGAGCCCACGTGAAGATCATCTTCGAGTTTTGAAATAATTTACGGAATTTCTTTGTTAACTTTATTTGATAAGTATGCTTCTTGAAGTAACAATCACAAAATAAATTTAGTCCTGTCATTTTCAAAAAGTGGTCTGCCTTTTTGTGCTTACAGAATTAGCAGAGATATAAAGAATTTCGTTTATATTTTAACTTAAATTACTTTTAACTTGAAATTGCTTCAATTACAAACGTCTTTACGCTCTTATTTAAAAATTGAACACAGTAAAAATGTCTCATTGGTATCAAATGAATCATAAAATCTTTCTTTAAAGAAATTGGTTTATATTTTAAATTAAATAACATGAAACTAAGATTATCTAATTCTGAACGAAATCATTATAAATTATTAATGGCAAATAATTAATAATTGATTTTATTCTTGTTGAAGGAACGCCTTCTACTCAACCACCACCAAGCACCAATTCTTCCATTCATTTTAATAGACAAGGTAGGAATATTTCAGTTCAGTACTACACCTCTTAACTCACATTTATATCTATATAAAGTTTAAATTTCTGTTCGTTTGTCCGATTAAAACTCGAGAACTTCTTGACCGATTTGTCAAAAATTTTGATTGGGGAACTTGAAATCACCACTGGAATGTTCTTAGCTTGGTTTTGAAATTCTAAGTTGAGAGGATCGACTTTAACAGGAGAAAATTTAGTTTCCCGGTAAAATCATTGTAGTGCGGGTAAACGACGGGAGTAACTTTAAGTAACCTGGGCGGGTTCCCAAGATAGTATATGTATGTATAATGTAGTAATCGTTGTTTGTTGTTTTGGTTGTTCGATCATAACTGAGGAACCCCTGGACCGATTTGCCTCAAGTTTTGATTGGGAACCTCGGTAGAAGCAAGCTGGATTGTTTTTATTTCGTTATGCAAATTCTAAGTTGATTGGGTTGACTGTTAAAGTTATTATTTATTAAGACAATGCATAACTATTTTATTTTTTCATTCGATCTTATTACGTTGATTTGATTCATGAAAAATTTTTATTTCTTATTTTATAAATTGAAAAAATCAGACTTCTAGGAACGTACCTTTCATTTCAGAATTCGGCGGGAACCCTTCGTCCAAACAGCATGGAGATCGGCGGGCTCCGCCTCATTACTATGCACATTCCCCTCCAACACGTCAGGTCCAATTTTTTATTTCTAATATTAAGCAGAAACTGATCAAATTTAGCTCAAAACAACTCCATTTAAGGTTCAAAATTGTCATATTGTCATACTCATATTTGTTGTCATATTGTCATACTCATATGTATTGTCATACATATTGTCATACTCATATGCATTATCATATTGTCATACTCATATGTATCGTCATACTCATATGTATTGTCATATTGTCATACTCATATGTATTATCATATTGTCATACTCATATGTATTGTCATATTGTCATACTCATATGTAATGTCATAATTGCCATACTCATATGTAATGTCATATTGTCATACTCATATGTATTATCAATTGTTATACTCATATGTAATGCCATAATTTTCATACTCATATGTAATGTCATATTGCCATACTCATATGTAATGTCATATTGTTATACTCATATGTATTATCAATTGTTATACTCATATGTAATGCCATAATTTTCATACTCATATGTAATGTCATATTGTTATACTCGTATGTATTATCATATTGTCATACTCATATGTAATGTCATATTGTCATACTCATATGTAATGTCATATTGTCATACTCATATGTATTGTCATATTGTCATACTCATATGTAATGTCATAATTGTCATACTCATATGTAATGTCATAATTGTCATACTAATGTCTGAAGGCATTTAAGAGCATCGGTCTTTGAAGTTAGTATGTTTGGTCATGCGTAAAGGTCGCTCCTGCTCTTTGATTGGTCCAGGTCCTATTCCTTTTGTCGGTTCTACCCATCTGCCACCTCCGCCGACTTTTGAAACGGCTCAACATGGAAACGCCTAGAAAAAAGGGACTCTAAAAAACTAATTTAATGTAATCTTCTCTAAACTTTAAATTAAAAAATTATATTACAACGACTTTTACAGCCATGGCCGCAGTGCACGGCCCCCTAGTCTGTCATAGCCGCAGCACTCGGCCTCCAAGTCTGCCATAACCGCAGCGCTCGGCCCCCTACGTAGCCTGCTGCGCAACCTGACCTAAATCAATGCTATGAAAAAAAATTATTTTAAAATGTTTTAAAAAAATTTAACTTGAGAGAAAACGACATTAAATTAGTTTTATGAGTTATTTTTTTTAACCATTTCCGAGTTGAGGCATTTCCACCGACATTATCGTAACTAAATTATTGTTCAGGTTTCTGGATCGAGATTACACTCAATCATTGAACCACAGTCCCTGCACCGAGGGGGGTCAGAGACAAACAAATTAGCAGGAGTTGGAGTTCAGGAACGTCAAGCAGCGGGTCAGGGAGGTCAAGAAGATGGCAAGGGAGGTCGTGATGGTGACCACTCATCTGCTTCTAGAAATCTCTTTACTCGGTAATTCAAGTTATAAAATACAGTTTTTAAATGGTTCATGAATCTCAAATGAATAATACATTTTATCATATTTCAATCAATTCACTGATAGAAACCAGAAGAAAAATCAAAATATCAAATTCAATCAATCAAGATATGTACATTTAGGACCAGGAGTTCAGTTCTCGTTAATTCGATTCAGTCTTTCTCTTCTCAACCTTCAGATCCTTCTAGGCTTCAATCCAACACTGCAGGACTCAATCCCCAGCAATCCAATACCGCCGATCTCTCTGCTTTCCCCGCCGTGTTTACCCCGGCGCAGCTCAACCTTGAGGAAACAGCATCGCCGGACGAAATGGTAAATTTTAAATTTTTCATTTCCATTATTTCTTCTTTTTTTTGTGTTAAGTATATTTCAAACTTTCCTAAGATTTATATATTTCTAGAATACAATAAAGAATTAAAGAGATTGTAAGGATAATTCCAAGAGAGCCGCCATTCTGAGATGGCAAAAACCGGTTTACAAGAGTACCATTTAAAGCTTATCTAATCAAGAATGTAATTTATATCAATGTTTCCTGAAACACAGCAATTAACACTTTTCGAGTCCAAAAAAGGACGGATTAAGGGTTCAAGCATATACCGTTTTAAATAGGACATTGTCGTCTTTAAATGAAACGTCATTAATAATTACGCTTGTAATCCCTTTAAGATTAACTTAATATTTTAATATTTACGTTATTCAGGATGAAGAAGTGTCTAACAACAAGTCAACTCCTGCCACTGTAATTGAGAAAGCTGGAGGAGAAATGCTTAGAAAAGGAAGTTTAGAAAACAAAGTGCAAGCTTTCTTGGACCGACTTCATCAGGTAGCACTAGGGGACACTAGGGAATATGTGTTTCTTGGACCGACTTCATCAGGTAGCACTAGGGGACACTAGGGAATATGTGTTTTATTATTATCCCCGGGTGGAGATAGAAAAAATATGGTACCTATATTTTTAGTATCCACGCATATCTCTTGACACTCAGAAGTTTAGCCTCCAGGTCATGGTACTTTGTCTGTAGGTTGATTGTTAATGGTAATAACGGGGATTATCAGCCACCACCCCCCTCCCGCCCCATGGAAAGTTTCAAAAAAAGATAAGCCTACCCCTGGATAAATTCCATAAGAAAAATAAGAAAAATTGGGTTTTTCTAAATTAAGTTAATTAATGGATTTAACCCTTTTTTTGTTTAGGAAAGCCTTAATTACTCCTTGCCCCAAGCACGCTCATTTCAAGGTAAGTTTAAAACAATATCATTTTCAGAAATGTGATAAACTAGCTTGGAAACCCAGTTTTGTCTAGAAACTAAATTTCTCCGGTAAATGTCAACCTACTCAACTTCATTCCCGGGGTTCTACCGAGTTTACCAATCAACATTTTAGGCAAATTGGTCAAGGGTTAACTAGTTATGATCGGACATATAAACAAACAAACAATTAGATATTATTACTATATATATAATAGATACTTGGGACATTTTTGTCATATCTTGTTTTATGGAAGCACTAAACCCCATGCAATTGCAGTTTTGCTAGTTATCTATGCTTTGTTTAATGTCCTTCTTGTAGTTTCTCAATAATTTCGTAATTTATATTTTATATTTTGTTATTAAGTGTAGTGTTCGCAAAAATAAAAAGGTGATTGTGATTTACAAAAAATTAAGGGATCTTCTAAATTGAATAAACAGAATAATCTTTTTGAATCTTTCTATCTGATTAATTGATTAATATACACAATATTCTTTTTCATATTTTATTATTTTAACAGAAAAATCAGACAGAAATAAAAGTATAATTGTGTTGTAATTCAATTATAGTTAGTAGTTATATTTCCCTTCAGGTCCATCCTTCCATCTGAGTGTGAGTGGAGAAGAGGAGGGGTTGGACAATCTTTCTAGGGAGACAACCCTCACCGAGGGAAGGTTTAGGAAGGGTCTGGAGACATCAATAGAAACCCTTCCGCAGGAGGATTTCTAGCCGTTTAGCAAACCCCTCCGCAGGAGGAGTTCTAGCTGTTTAGCAAATCTTTCCGCAGAAGGAGTTATAGTGGTTCAGTAAACTTTTCCGCAGAAGGAGTTCTAGCCGTTTAGCAAACATCTCCGCAGGAGTGGTTTTAGCGGTTAGAATTGAGTATTTTTTATGGAAAACTCAAATTTCCGTTCATTCATTTTTAGTATAAATAGATTTCTCCTTTGCTCATATTATCACATATTTATTTTTCAATGCAGTTAAAATTATATTATTCAGTTCTATGAAAATTCTAATTGCATATTTTTAACAATCAAGATTAAGTTTAACCTTTTATTTGTAAAGCCGTACATTCCACGTTATAAAATAAGAACTTAGGTTGTAAGCTTGTTACGGTCGTCTTTTTATGTTTTAAACACCAATATTATTATCTGAAACCAATATACTCATGTAAATTGTTCAATTTCGAAAGATTTTATATCAGATGAAACAATTCATCTATTCATTATAAGAGGGATCAGAATTCTGATTTTCCGATGTCATTCTTTTATCTTGATGGCATTTAATGGCCGGGGTAAAAACGGCGAGAAGAATATAAATGTATGTAAATATTCGAATTATTCTGAAAAAAAAATAACTCAAACCTATTATATTTTGTAGGATGTAAATCAGTTCTCTATCAAATTAAGTACAAACTCATTAAACATTAATGTTGATTGTTGATATATATTTTTGTAACTTTATTTAACATTTAGTACCTAACCAACCAATCCATATGTGCCAATGTTAATGCTATATATAATTTATTGCGCCTTTATACCCCCCCCCCCAAAAAAAAAACAGGCATGTATGCTTTATTTGTTCGGATATATCCCTAAAAAAGGGCTGTAATTGTAATTTCAAGCAACCCTTAATGCAAAGATGGCATTGCCAGAATTACAACTGTTACCTTGAAACCTTTATCTGATCACTCAGTGATCAATAATATGGAAGATATTGTTATTTTTCTAGAGTTAATATTTTTCATATTCATAATTCCTTTATATTTTCCTGTAGACACTTTTGTAGAAAACCCACAGCTAAAAATAATCAGTTTACGAAATTAAAAACATTAAACATTGATATCTAATGCATACTTGATCAGACAAAGCTTTAAATGGTTCCGTTGTGAAACAGACATCTTTGCATTGAGGGTCTCTTGAAATACTGCTTACAGTCCCTTTAAGTGGATTCAGGTTCTACAACAATATCCCTGTTTCAGAAACGAAATGGAATGGTTTGAAGGCGATGTCGGGGCTGCTATCAGTTCAGCAAAATCTAAGCAGTCAATCTTTTGTGTCTTTATAATTGGTATTGATCCTGTTATACTATCTATTTATCTATACCATACAT